ACCATGCATTTAGCAATGTTGCAACTTAGAATGGCATTGAAAAATATGATTTATGACTAGTCTTCGCACTGATGACCACTGCAGGATCCCAATGGTCAGGTAAACAAAATTTGTGGTACTTGGCAACTGGCATGTATTTGATTGTTGCAGCATCTTGGGGTCATGTGATCACCATTTATGATTTTCCTTGCCAGCTTCTGACAACCAAAGTTAATAGGGGAAGCCAGAAACAGTTAACAAGCATATGATTCATTTAACTACTGCAATGATTCACTTAATAACATTGGTAAAAAAGATTATAACATTGGGGTACAACTCATTTAACAACAACTTTACTTAATAACAGACATTCTGGTCCCAATTGTGGTCATAAGTCTACTTGTATTCAGCAGCCTAAGCAAAGCCTCCAAAGTCTTCACAATTATATATATTTTATTACCGGTATATTTATATGCCACCCATTTCACTGTCAAGCAACTCTGGGCGGCTTACAACATAAAAACACAATATACAATGGTAAGAACATTAAAAGCATTCAGCATTAAAAGTTAAAACATTAAAAATTAACAAAGAACTAGATAAACATGGACCAATACACAAACCAGATGGAGGTGGAACCTTCTAATTTACTAACCACCTCCTGAGTGTTCGCTCATTTGGAAACAAGTGCAGAAGAGAAATGGGAGAAAAGTGATAAAAAATGGCCAGTACTGTATAATCCAGTGGTTCTCAACCTGTGGGTCGGGACCCCATTTGGGGTCGATCGACCATTTCATGGGGATCGCCAAGCAAGACTGTCTGCCATTTTTTTTGTCCGCCATTTTTTCCCCTTTTCCGGCGGGTGCCTTACCTCCCTTGGGCTGGGCCAGCTGGTAGTTGGACTGCTCCGTCTCTGCTGCTTGCCAGCTACGCCTTGGCCAGCGCAGGGGGCGGAACCACGCATGCGCGGCGCTCCCGGGCAGGGAAAGTCCTTGACTTACGACCGGTTGGGTAGTCCTCGACTTACGACCGGTTTAGTCCTCGACTTACGACCGGTTTAGTCCTCGACTTACGACTGGTTTAGTCCTCGACGTACGACCGGTTTAGTCCTCGACTTACGACCGGTTGGGGTCGCAGCATTAAAAAGGTTGAGAACCACTGGTATAATCTATTACCTCAGGGGAATTACAGACTGAGCCCACTCACCTGGGTATGTTTGCGGAAAAATACCCCTTGCACTTTCCCAAACACCTCATAGTCCACCGAAACGAGGCCTTGCCCCTCAGCCATGGTCGGGGGTGCCTGTACTGAAAGCAAAATAGCAATCAGGCAGAAAAAGAGAGGCAGGTGCCATGCCCGCAGGGAGACTGTCCCTCGAGCAACCTCCAAAGGCTGCATTGTCGAAGCGATCCGCTCTCCGGCGCCCTTATAACTCAGTTAACCTGACCCTCGCTTCCCTCCCCGGCGCCCTGCAGGGGAGGTTGGAGGGCAAGGCATCGCTCCGACAGGCCCCTCCCTTATTTCCACCCCGTTGGATATAGAAGACTGAAGCCTCTGAGACCTGCCGGGGTCAGGTTTCGCCCGGCAACCCGAAGGTTTCTCTGCCAGCTTCGCAGATGGCCGTCCAAAGAGACCCTCCCCCTAGAACCGACCGGGCGCGAGCGGCGCACCAACGGCCACTAACGACGAACACACCTCGCAAGACCGCCTTCAGTTCAGTATACAGAACCAATGTGGAATTAATTAAACGAGTAACAGTCGAACAGCGCTGCTTTTTTTTATGGCTAAACGGCGGCCAGCTTGGCCTATAACTGACATAACATAATTACGAAAAGATGGTGTAATTCAGGGGTAGTCAACCTTGGCTCTTTTATGACTCGTGGACTTCAACTCCCAGAATTCCTGAGCCAGCTTAGCTGGCTCAGGAATTCTGGGAGTTGAAGTCCACGAGTCATAAAAGAGCCAAGGTTGACTACCCCTGGTGTAATTCCTAAAGACTCTCACTCACCGGAAGCCGCTGAGGTGGAATCGGATGTAGCGGGCGCGCTGTTGTTGCTACGCAACGGTGCTAAACCGCCGCTCGAAGGTCTGGTGGCCCAGGTAAGAGAAAACAGGCAGGCGGGCACGGCGCGGCGTGGCGTGGCCAGCGGTTGTGTGTCTGGAGCCGGCGGGCAGGCTACTTTGGTAGGTGCGTGAATTCAAGTTGAAGCGGCGACAGCGTGTCCGTCGGTTCCCTCTTCCCTGAGTTTTGTCAAATTTCGAACCGGCAGTTCCGGTCCCGTTACAGTATAAAATCATTAATAGAGAGGAGCGCTAGTTTAATGCTGTGTAAGCTGTAGCGGCCGCCTTTGGGGAAAAAAAAGGCTTTCCCTTCACTCCTCTTTTCTATAGAAGGGAGCCCTAATAGCAAAAGCATTCACAATCCTTGGCTTCTCCCAGGTAATATTAGAAAGCTAAGTGGAGTCGCATTTGTTTAGGGGAGACAACCAGAAATCCCCGGGCTGTAAGCTACAACAGAAAGTTAAAAAAAACTTAGAAAAAAGGAATGGCAAACCATTTTAAATTGTGGCCAAGAAATATGGAAGAGCCAATGGATTGAGATTCAACTGGAAGAATATTTGACCTACAGAGACAGACATTAGGAAGGAAAATGATCTAGACCTAGAGTTTTAGAGTTATGAAAAGGTCATCTAAGTATGATTTAGCTTTCTAAATCATATATATCATATATATCTATATTTCTATCTATCTATCTATATCTATATATCTATATCTATCAATTGATATAGATATTTATATATATATATATTCATATATCATATTTGGGCCAAAGGTGCATCAAAAACACTCAAGACATATTCATATATCATACAGAGAGAGAGAGAGAGAGAGAGAGAGAGAGAGAGATTTCCATCAGCTTTAGGGGGTGTAAATTTTAATGAATTCTATCTTTATTGTAGAAGTAAGGAAATGCTATGATGGAGGATGAAAAACACACAAATAAACAAATGTTTCCTGTTATGCGCAGTCCATTCCCTTTCTGTCTTTGCTGTTTTAAAGCAATTTCTCTGCTGTAAATACTGACTTTTTTATTTATAACTTTTCTAAATTGGGAAAATGGGAAACAAATATAAATCCGAAGGGAGTACATTTTGTAGCCTGAGAAAAACATAGTACAAGTGTTCCAAATATATCTTGAAAAGAACATCTTTTGCAGATATTGATCTTTGGACATATTTGTAATAGGAAAGGCCAGACCTTTATATATGTCAAATCCCACATGCTATTAGGATTTTGAAAACTTAATATCAACATGGATCAATTTAAATTATATCAATAAACATCCGGCAGCCAATGAAGATTTTTCAGTATACATACTGTTATTCCTTGAAATTTGCATTGATTACTAGTCTGGCTGCCTCCTTTTACACCAAATGCAATTTCTGGATATTTTTCAAGGTTAGGTCCATTTTATATGTTACAGTAACCAAGATGGGATATACTGTAGTGAAGGTATGGACAGTTGTTGCTAACTCAATTAATTTAGAAATTGTAACTATCTGTGCAAATGTAATTCTCACAAATTAAACAGCACGCCAATTAAACAGCACGCTCAGACTATGTACCTGTTATTTTATTTCAGGTGGAATCCCATCAAAACAAACTAAACATCAGTTCACAAATCTGGTCCCAAGACCCATTCTTATCAGACAATCTAGGAGCATACCTTTGTTAAGCATGCACAGCTATTGAAATCTAGCACAATTAGCCAGTCTTCACGCATATGTATATTTTTTAGCTTGGTTCACCAAAGTAATGTTTGTCTCACATCACTGCCAAATGAACTGAAATGCATTGTGTGAGTCTGTTATTGGTGTATAATTGCATAAGCATCCATAATCAACGGACTATTTTTTTAAACTAAGATCTTACATCTGCTGTCTTTAGGCAAGAAATAATATCCCATCTTCAAGGAAGCATTGCTCACTCCCTAAAATATGGGACCAGTTGTGGTTGGTTTAATAAACCAGGTAGGGCAAGGATCAAATAATCAGGTGTTAGGCCTAGCTCTGTACAATCTTTCATATTCTAGAGATCTACAAACTGAAAAGAATACACAATCAGAGAAAAAAATGTCAGGATTATAACCTTATGATATACCCAGTACTTCAAGTTGAGATAGATCTGGTTGTATACAAAAAATATGTGAATTCTTCTTCCCTCTACTGCAAAATCTTGGCAAAGAAGGTGTTGCAGAATACAAAATAGAAATGTTGACTTACTATTTAGAAATGCAATGAAGGCAGATGGAGATTATGCAGGGTGTGGTCAAAAATGTCATAATGCAACCATGATTAAATCAGTTCATTTTTAATAGGGATTGTACACATTCCACACTTAAGAAACAGATGGAGCTTCAATCACCCTATTGTGGCAACCATACTGATTTTTTTTTTTTGACTCCTGGAGACAGGGAAGTGAGCAACTTTGTTTCTTCCAGTGCTGTACAGGTAACCTTAAAATGATCTCAGTGTAAGACACTTGTCTTCCAGTTTTCGTTTTTCCTATTCATTTCCTTTTTTCTCAGCTCCCTAGTAAGCCTAAAGGTTATTTGTGCCCTCAAGAGTTGTGATCCTAACCACTAAAATTATTTCCATATTTTGCAGATTATTCAGTCTGTCAACATTATGGCTGACACACAAAGTAGAAAATTCCTCCAAATACATTCAATGCAATCTAATAACTGTCCAGAATAAGATAGGTATGGATTGGGCAGCTTTTATGGTTTCCACATTCAGGCTGTGAGATATATTAGACGTAATGCAGTACTGTTAAACTACATTCTTTCATTTGCACACTTTTTATTGATCATGGCTGAAATCCTACATTGATTTTGTTGAAGGACAACATTCATTTAGATTACTTGCAATCAGAGCACATTTTCTCAACCATAATAAAGGAATATTAGAATGAGAGTTGAAATTGTAGCATGTATATAATTTGTTGCATTTCCTCAGATTTAGTGGAAATGCTGAATGGCTCAGTTGCAGCTGGCTGTGTGTTCGCATATGGATCCAATAGCATCCAATTCCAGTCTTCCTGCCACAAGTCAGGAAAGATGTCATCCTGAAGTTCTTAAAGAACAGTCCCAATTAGAAAATCTGAGGAATAATACCCAGCAGCAACTTGTGTGCTATAAAGATAAGAAATTGAAAGATCTTCATGTTCCCAAAGAGCGGAGCTCTTCCTGTACTCAACCTGCAGAAAGTAGTCAGTTGGTCTTAGAGAAAGCAGGCTTTTATTCTGCTGGACCCCATAACTGGTGTTTCAAGGGTCAGGCCAGCACTGTGCCTTCCCACTGGAGAATGAAGCGGAAAGAAGGCGTTGACAGAGCATATCCACTTAAGCCGGTCTTTCACCCAAAATCTGGGAATGGTCTCTTACCAAGTTCTTGGCAAGTTGGAAATGCAGCAGCTAGAGAGATTCCTTCCTGTGGGATTAGCTCAGAGAAAACAAAAGCGTCACATGGGGTGAAGACTCAGCCTGTAAGGATGCACTCTCCTTTTTCTGTACAACAATCTAATAGAACAACTTCTCATTCACAAAGAGCAGAGTCAGGCTATATTCAAAAACTGGAGGCTGCTGGACGGAGTTTGGAGGAGGAGATCCAGCGAAAGGAGGCTCTCCTTAGGGAGAAACTAAGGAAAACAGAAGAAGAGCTCCGTAAAATCCAGTGGAAAAGGCAGCAGACTAAAGCAGAAGCAAGAAGAGAGCAAGGAGGATTATGGATGCCTGAGAAGAAAATGACAGCCGTTTCTCAAGATTGTGATTCCAAATCTACCACACAATTACGTGATGATGATCAAAAAATGCTTGTTCCAGAGACTATGATAGCTTCAATTGGGACTGCCCTGCTTCCACAGACACTTCATATAGAAAGGCTCAAGAAGCAACGATTGATAGCTAGCAACAATAAAATTCGAGATAACTTCTCCAATATTTCTTCCACTCACAGCCTAGAACCAGCAACTGTACACAACCAGTCTTGTTCTCTAACAGGAACCCCAGTAGCTAATGCAGAATCAATGGCAGCAGAACCATCATATACAGAGATCCAAAATGATATAGAAGATTGGGGAGAATGCAGTTTTTGTGGACGGAGACTTTACTGCTCCAGATTGGAGAAACATATGAATATTTGCAGCAAGAATCATGGATCCAAGAGAAAAGTGTTTGATTCAAGCAAGGCTAGAGCAAAGGGCACTGAATTGGAAACATATCATCTCTTGAAGGGCTCAGATATTTCACAGGTGATGTGCATACTAATTTATTAAATGTATCCTCCTCCTGTGGTTTATATGGGGGTTATCAATGCATTTTCTAATTCTTATGTTTTCCAGCCTTAAGCTTGTTGAGCAGCATCTGGCTAGTATAGAGTTCAATCTTTTTCTTCTGACCTTTCTTTAAAACAAACCTCTTTCTTAATACCACTTGATGGTCTATAATTAGTTTTTAATTTCCATCATTTAAATACAGTAATAAATATGATGACTACTGAAAATGATGTTTGGAAGAGACCAAAAAATAAGGCAAAATCTCCATTAATGTTTATTTAAGATACTCGTACTTGGCCTAAAAATACAGAGCAAGTGTAACATTTTTTTAACGTTTATTATTCGTGAAAAAGGAGACAATAAGACTGTGAAAATAAATGGATAAAATTCTTACATTACAAAATCTGTAATGAATGCTCAAAAGTCACTCCAACAAGACAGATTGACAATTGGTTCTAGGGAAAAACCATAAAAATGAAGAAACCATTTATATTTAGGATGAGGAAGGAACATAATGCAGTAGGATCAAAAGTTATCTTCTTCACACTATCCAACTCATAATATTCTTGCTAGTGCAATAAATTTCATTCACAATTCAATTATGGTATTGAATTATTTTAATGATGGCATAGATTAAAAATGTTATATTATCAGCTTGAAATGACCTAAGAAGGAAGGGGAAATGATTTAAAAAAAATAAATTTCATCCTTTACATACATTTTATAGTCCCAGTAATCTAATTTAAAAAATTCAAAATGTCTGGCATTAGAAATAATCTACTCGTATATATGACAATATAACTTTTATAAAGAACTTCTATAGACAGCCCTGGTGGCAAAGTGGTTAAAATGCAGTACTGCAGGCAAACTCTGCCCAAAACCTAGAGTTCAAGGTTGACTCGGCTTTCCATCCTTTGGGGTCAGAAAAATAAGGACCCAGATTGTTGGGGGCAATATGTAAATAAGGCTTCTACATTGTAAACTACCCAGAGAGTGTTGTAAAGCGCTATGGGGCTGTATATAGACCTAAATTGCTATGCTATTGCTATATAAGCCTAAATGCTATTGGTATTGCTATAAAAATAGTTACAGGAATGATAACAGTATGCGCTAACAAAGTTGCATTAATTATTTTTAATTGTTTTTCCCATTTCCTTTTCTTGCTGCAGAAAAAAACTTCCAGCCACAGTCTTGAGGCTTCCAAGCAAAGCAATGCTACATCTAAACAAAGCAATTGGAGACAGAAGCATGATTCTTTCATCAAGACTTTGCGCAGGGCTCGTGAAGTGCAGCGCATCATCTCCAAAGGCGGAAAGGCCTCAGATCTTCCCCCAGCACCAGCTATGGAAAATCCAGACTACAAACTGTGTCCATATTGCACTCGTCAGTTTGCACCCAAGGTTGCTGAGAGACATATTCCCAAGTGCAAGAACATTAAGAACAGACCTCCACCACCACAGCAAAAAAAGCGTTGCTAGTAAATAGACAAGATGATATCTGCAACTGGTGTAATCCTACTTAGATTTCTTGTAATTTTTCTCAGTTTAGGGCTACTGAGTGGCAGTTTCAGTGTAAAACCAATGAGAAATCCACACATTTTAAATTATCATTAACCCTTTATACTACAGGTCAAGGCACCTAGATGGACAAAAAGTGGTGTTGTCTTCATCCTCTCAAAATTTTGTATTCTGTAAAAATGGTTCACTGGGATTCCATACATATTTTGCAGTGGAATTTTTGAAGAAAGGCCCTGCAAAATGGCCTATTAAAAATTGGAAGAAAATATGAAGTTCTTATAAATCATGGCTCTATACTTTTGACTCTTTGATGGCACCTGGGATCAGTTATTTTTTCTATGAGCTGCCCAAGATAAATGATTCCCATTTCTGTGCTGAATATCATAAGAAAAAGCAGCCATATTCTAGAAAATTAACATTTTAAATATTAGAATGATAGCTGGCAAAGAATAAGAGCTATTTCAATGTATTATGTATTACTATTTAAATTGGCTGGGAAAAGCTTTACAGTCAGTTTTGTTTCCTGTTTTATAGTACTGCATAAGATTAATCTTCCTTCAAAGTAACCTACACAAGTTGCTGTAAAAGAAAAAAGTGGAAGTTTTGATGGATTGTTCTCTATAGCATAATTGTAGTACCTGATTTTCATCTCTGTAACTTTAAGATTAGTGAAAGGAAACTAAGATAGTTATTTGGAAGTGGGCATTTGTTTAGCTCTGCCTTTGCTAACAGATGAATGATTAAAATGTCTGGGAATAAGAACAAGAACAATCAGCAAACAAATGGAATAAATATATTTATATGCAAACTAGCTGTCTTCAGGCAACAAGCATGGTCTATAATAAAATAGGTAGAACATAAATTGCTTGCAAAGGCAAATGTAGTATTTGCTGAAAGTGGAAACATATGGATGAATGCTTTGTATGGAAAATACCGATTTTACATAATACACTGTTAGCAGAGTATAGTATGTGATTCCCCAAAATTGAATTGCTAGTTTTATCTGGTTACATTTTCAATGATCTGGTGCTAACTTAAAATTTCAAGAAAAGTGGAAAGCTTCATTTTGTTTAAAATTCAGTATTTATGTGATGTGGAAAATAATTGTTCCCTATGTTTCTAATTTTGTTGGAAGCTAAAACATATGAAGAATGGTTGCAGGAATTGGAGTATGTCTAATTTTATGGGGGAAAAAGGAATGAGGGGCGACATGATAGGAAGTTCCAGTATCTAAGGGGCTGCCACAAAGAAGAGGAAGTCAACCAATTCTCCAAAGCATCTGAAGGCAGAATAAGAAGCAATGGATGGAAAGTAATTAAGGAGAGAACCACCTAGAACTAAGGACAAATTTCCTGACAGAACAATTACAGTAATCAGTGGAACAATTTGCCTCCAGAAATTGTGGGTGCTCCAACACTGGAGATTTTCAAGAAGAGATTGGACAACCAATGGTATAGGATTTCTTGCTCAAGCAGGGGGTTGAAATAGAAGCTCTCCAAGGTCCCTTTTAACTCTGTAATTCTGTTACGTTATTTCACTGACAAAATGTCAAATGTATTTAAGCAGGAAACTTGGCTTTCACCAGCTTATTTTCTTCATTTTTTTTCTATCCAGCTTCAGCAAGGAAGCTGTTTAATAGCTCTTTTGCACCATGGATTTAAATTATTTCAAAATGAAAGAAAGCTCAGATTTCATTTCTTGAGCAATAGCCATTTATATTTTTTATCAAGTCAGATTTTATTAGAGGTTGATGAGGTAAAATACAAGATAATCAGATTGCTAGATTCTGTGCCTATATTTTGGTTTTGGAGAAATTTGCACAAGGAATGATAAGCAAAATTTGTCATTAATCCTGGTTTGCTATGACCCTGCTTGTATATGCAGTTCTTTAATTTTTGAGAAACAAAAAATATTTTTTTATATATAAAATTTATGTAGCTGCCCCTCTGACAACAGGTTTGGTACACCACCTGAACTTGCAATTCTGGCTTGTGGCTCAAATTCAAATGGGATAATAAATTCAGTTTGTTGTTTTACAAATCTTAAAATTATTTATACAAGCACAAGTGCTATATTAGTGTATCATGGCAAATGCAAGTTGCTTGTATTAATGGGAGGACCAATGATTGCTTTTTCATTATAGGTCAGTAGTGTTTATACTTCTGTACAATGCAGCCATACTGTTGTTTTCGCGTCTATTGGGTAGAAGGCAGTGGTTTGCTTTATTTTCCTTGAGCCATGTCCTTGTCTTTTAGAAAGCTGTCCTATAGTTTCAATATGGGTAAATCTAATGTGTACAGTAAGGAAAAGATTTTTGCTTGAAGACCTTTTTTGGATACAGTATACTCTAAGATTAAGCTAAACCTCAAAATGTCTTTTAAAGTGATATACCACCCCTGATTGCAATATATGTTATATATTCTCACTTATTTTATTTTTATTAATCAAATTTATATACCCCCATCTCACTATCTAAATGTCTCAGGGCAGTTTACAAATATAAAAACATAACATAGACAAAGCTAAAAAACAAAGTTAAGAAGCTAAAAAGAGAGCCAGTTTGGTTTAGTGGTTAAGACACCATCCTAGAAGCCCAGGTTGCATGCCACCATTGGATCCCCATGCTAATAGAACCGGTTCTTAGGTTTTGGAAAACCAGAAGAGTGGGAGGCCAACCTCATCTTAGGGGGCAAAATGTTCCTTAGGGCTAGTGTAATGGCAAAGAAGGCTTTTTTCCTTGACTCCACCCCAAATTATTTATTTTTTTACCTCATGGGGTCTGCAGCACGCTTCTCCCATCTGTTCAGTATCAATAGATAGGCAATCTCTGCAAAGGTATTATTTTTTTTATCACATGGCACAGGTTGGTGATACAAACATTATTAGAAGTGGTGCCTCATAATTCTAGAGTATGTTGTATGAACTCAACCTATATTGAGAGATTTATCCTCTTCTACATTATTTTTCATGTTATTTGTTTTCTGAAGTTGCCGAAAACAGCTTATTTACGATCATGAAGTCATAATGTACAAGAAGCTTTCCCAAATAGTGTTCTGTCTTTTCCCTATGACTCAATCAAACATGCAGATGCATTAACCTGTTCTGAAGTGATTAATGTATTTTCCAGAAAGGTGTATTTCAGCAGTGCTTGAATAGTACTGGTTCTTCTACTTTCTGATGGTTTTTATCTTCTAAGCTTGTATACCCAATACTCAGGAACCAAAAAGTGCTTTGTAATCCCCTTAGCAATTATCTGATATACAGCTGTTTTTCTTCAAGACACACTATTATATAAACGAAAGGTGGTCTTATCAGTATTATTTATTCAAGCCTAATTACATATGATCCCATCAGCATCAAATGAATATGTTGTTATTGATGTGTCCTACTCATCATCTTGATCGGTGTTGTATAATTTATATTCTTGATATAAGCAGTCTTCGGTTAATGATCATTGGGACTGAAGTTTTCCATTACTAACTAAGCGATGTAGTTGTACAGCATGAGGTCTTGCAACATCTCTCAGTAATGGCAATCCCAGTACTCCCTGCTGTTATTTAAGCAAGGATCACGGGTTGCTAAGGAAGCCCCATGTGGCTTGCCAGCAAGCTGGAGGTATGTGAGTGCTGCTGAGTAGAAGATACACAGGTGGCTGGCATAGCACAGTAAGGCTCCGAGTTGCTGCTTCTGAGCAGAGGATGTGCAGATGGTGTATGTGGCTGGGCTGGGGGTGTCTAATGCCTGGGGGGTAATTGCATGGTGTGGTATGAGTGCAGCAGGGGCAGAGATAGCTGCTGCTGGAGTGGGGAGAGTGCAAGTGACTTACCAGATGACTTGTGACTTTCCCTACCAGCTCCCCTATTGACTCTGCTTGTGGGAAGCCAGTGAAGGTCACAAATAGCAATCAAATTAACATAAGAGTGCTGGGATGGCTGGAACTTGAGGACCGATTGTAAATACCACTTGGTTAGCCCTGACATAAATTCAAAGTTGTTGCTGCATGAGTGGTTGTTAAATGAAGACAATTTGTAATCATAATGACAACTAAAGGATTAAAGGTATAAGCAACATAATATAGAGAGAAAAATGTTAGTGATAATTAAGTTTTACCTTTGAATGATTAGTTTTAAGTGTTATAAGATTTTCATATCTTGCAGTAGAATTTCTAAAAAACAGCAGTAGCAGGAGGAAGATAAAACGTTGCCTGTGAAAATGTGGACCAAGTTTACCATGTCTGATCATGATAAATATAGAACCAAGTAACCTCAAATGTGTGTTCCTTGAAATATATTCAATTTCTATTAGAGCGAATGAGGACAGAAACAATTGAGTGTCAAAATTTATTTAAACAGAAAACATCAAACCATTCCACTATTGGATTTTAAAAAAACAGATTACAACAAAATAATTTTCATATACTGTATTTCACTATAATAGATCAACAGCAATGCTAGTTAAGTAACCGTCATCTAAGAACTAGCATTGCTGAAAAAGAGAGAAGGGAAATGGACTTCTCAAAGGCACTTTGCCTTTTCCCTTCATCCTTTAGATGGGACAAAATCTGCACTTTGGTTGCATAGCAGGGCTGGGGCATATATCAGGATCTATAACAGGCACAACTTGCACGGTATTATGTTTAAAGGCACATATATTGATGAGTGATCACAACTCAGTACGGTGAATTAGTACTGCATTCAATTGTAGAGCTCTGAGAAATAAAAAGTGCTCTGTAAAATAGTGATTCACATCTGCTCCATGATTTCTTACTGGATGTAGCCCCAACATAATTGTTCTTTATAAAAAAACCTCTGTTGATGAAACAGTATTTTCATATGGGGTGAAAAAAACTTCAGTAATTTTTGGAGGGCAAGAAATCAACCAAACAGCACAGTGGTCTATTAAATATTTTAATAGACCAAATTTTGCTTTAACACTCTTCCCCTTCTCCTTTTCTCAGTCTGATAAAATTATAGAATACATAAGAGATGTTGGAGATAAACGAGAAGTTGAGATTAAAATCAAGAGTCTACCAAATAAAATAATGGACACAAGCATATAAAAGAAGTTTTTCTAAAAGTTATAGTTAAGCTGTAATAAAACCCCATACTACTATAAAGAGAAATGCAGAAATATTTCTTAGAAATTCTATCTATGCCAAAGGAGTAAGATAGTGAAGTAATCCAATTAACAAAAATATCAATTTCATTTTTAAATGTGAAAAATAAAACAACATACCTTCAAAAAAATTCATGCATAGTAATAATACTAGAGAAGTTCTGAAGTGATGTATAATTAATTGTGGCAATTATATTTGATGTACATACTTTGTTAAAAGTAATATTTAAATCCAGTTTCATTAAGTATTGAAAGGAAGCAAAAATACTGATTTAGGGCAAAAAGAAGCTGTTATTGGAATTCAGGCCAATAACTGAATAATATGAGTCAAGTCATAAATGTGTCTGATTTCAAATTCCAATCACTTTTTGTCTGACACCAAAAGAAGTGCTTGTGAGTTCTAAAGCTAGAGATTTGGAGTAGTTGAAAGAGTTCAGCCAGTTCTTTTGCATTTGAACAATGCCTAACAGCAATGAAAACAAAAGGGTGCTTGATGTCCTTCTCCAACATCCCTGAAACTATAAATAAGTTATCTGCAGACTGATATATATGTGACTAGAAATGAATCTAAATAGAAACTTGGTTGTTTTTTTTTCTGTTTGGGATGCTTTCATCCACTTTTTAAAAAATATTTCTCCTTCAAACTTTATTCTTAGAGGTGAAGATGCTTCTCCTTTCACCTT